AAATTTAAATATTTTTTATTTTATTATTTTTTAATTAATTTTATTTAATATTTTTTTAAAGACAATACATGGTTGATTGTTCATTGATTCCCCAATTGCCAAAGATCCAATTCACATTGGCAGGAAAAGATTTTGAATTGGAAGGTGCTGATTACGTCTTGAGAATTTCTCAAATGGGAAAAACTATTTGTCTCAGTGGCTTCATGGGAATTGACATTCCACCACCAAATGGACCATTATGGATTCTTGGTGATGTTTTCATCGGAAAATATTACACTGAATTTGATTTCGGCAATGATCGTGTTGGTTTTGCTGTAACTAAATAAACTCATCATTTCATATGAAAATCAATGGGAATTATGTATGTTCTTTTCAAAACAAAAGACAAGCAAAGAAATAAAATGCAATAAAAATGTATTTCAGATTATCATATTTTATATTCTGTTTAACTGCAAAACTTATCTTCATCTTTTACTATTCACTAAATAAAATTACGACACATATTAACGGATAATTTTATTTCAAATAATGTTCTACTCATTCCTCCTACTGTTTTCATGATCTGTAATTATTTCCAACTTGTTCTTCCTCCATGTGTTTTTATAATTTTTAAGAAAATAACAATTAAACAATGCACGCCGAAACGAAGAAAACAGATTTGAAGGAATTTCTAAAGAATGAAAACGTCTTCATAACGTATCTTCTGGAGGCTTTTGAAGTTCCGGAAACAGTTGAAAGTAAGACTCAAATTGTTATTTTTATATAGATACCTATTTTATCATTAACTTGTGTTTTTAATTTGTTTCAGGTGATTCAGATGACTATGACGTCTCAGTGAAAACTTCTAAGAAAAAAGCGAAACTGACTCTAATGAAACAGTTTAATCAAAAACAGGAAACTGAAGATACTGAAGAAATATCCGAAGTCCTCAAACAGAAATTTGACCAGCGTAAAATATGCAAAGCAAGTAACAAATCAAACAGAAAATTGCAAAAGCAAAAGAAGAAGAACATTCTTAAGAACAAGAGTTTAATAAAAGCTGGTTTCATGAAACAACAAGAACTTGTAAGAGTGAAGAAAGAAGAACCTTCCTCGGAAAATCAAAAGAAATCTTCAGTTTTTAATAATGAAGGAAAATTATTTTTCTCCAAAATTAAAATTGATGGCGAGAAGGCTCAACGAGATGGAGACACACATCCCAGACTTAATCTAGGGAAGTTAGTAGCACACAAAAAGAAAGTTGCAGAACTCATAGAATCTGGTAAAAAAGAGGAAGCAAAAGAAGAAAAAGAGAAAAATCTTTGGAGTGCCGCTTTCAAAAAGACTCAAGGAATCAAAGTTAAAGATAATCCAGACATCCTTAAGAAAGTTATTAAAAAGCGTAAGATGAAGAAAGTAAAATCCAAATCAACTTGGTCTGAACGTGAGAAGAAAATGAAAGAAAAACAGGCAGCTCGCCAGAAAAAGCGACAAGATAATTTGGATAAAAGAAAAACTGATAATTTAAAAACAAAAAAAGCTAAACAACAAAAGCGTGGAACTTAATTGTTATTGAATTATGGAGTGAGATGAAATGAATAAAAAGAATTTTTATTTTAAGATATGGTTTCAAAAGTTTGGCATTTCTTTTAATTCTAAAAAACTGCGAGCATCTGTCTTAACTTTTATAACATTCTAATGCTCGTTCTAATGTTAAAAATGATTATGGACACAATTTTCGTCATTAAAAATTGTTTATAAATCAGCACTTTAATTGTAAATGTTCATTCAAGGTTAAAGGTTTGCCTCAAATCCGCCAGTTCTTGTTCACTGCTCTCCTCAATCACTGTTTCTAAATCTTTTGATGATATTTCTCGGGATAAGTTGCACGAGTAAAGGTAGATTGGTTTTCTAGTGGCTGAAGATGAATAAGAAATGTTTACATTACCACATTCAGCATAAATATCTTCAAAATTAACTCACTGTGTCTATGAATCCGATTGAAATGAATGGAATCTTCATTTTGATCTTGATAATTTTCATTTCTTGATGAAAAGCGTCTACAAGCTTTGGAACATTTTCTCAAAAATAATAAAGCTAGCAAAGCAATGAAAGGAAAGGCAAAAATGCAGCTGACGATGGGAACAACAACTGATTCAGGTGAAACTGGAAAGCAAAAAAAGTAAATCAATAAATTTTTTATCAACTTCAGCAAAGTAAATTTATTTAGTGTGAATAATTAAAGTTTTCTTTATTAAACTTACCAGTTGCATAAACTATTTTTATTGAACTATTTTGTTGTCTACTGAATGAACTAATTGTTTCCAGATTGATGTCATTTTCTTTATCATAATTCTTTGTTGTATTAAAATATTTTAGAATTTCCATAGTTTAATGTTTATGTTTGTTTTTTTAGTTCAATGTAACAATTTTTTAATCAACTTTATCACATAGAAAATCGAATTTTCATTCGAGAACTTCGATTACACGAGCATTCTGCTACGATTCTCTCGACAACTGACTATAGTCCAAGCAATAAAGCATAATAAAAACGAAGCTTTTAAATAATTTAAGAAAAAAAGAACGGAAAAAGGAACAAAAATACATCGCACAATGTACGATGAACAAAATGTGTACGATGAACTGTCACATAAAAAAGATATGTATTTATGCAAAGCTCCTTTTTTCTTTAACAAAAGCGACAAGTTCAGACTTGCCTTTTCCGGGAAAAATCGATTTTTTTGTGTTCTGCATCACACTCGCGGGATACTCGTGACGTAATAATGACTAGCTAAAAAGGTGAACTGTAGCAATTTTCAAGAGTCTTTTCACATGTACACTCTCATTTAGCAAAGCATCAACTGAACCTTTTTCATTTAGCTTGTAACAAAGTTTCATATTTTCGCCTTATTAAATTCACATACATAAAGGAAATTGATATTTATGTGAGAAAATATATTTTCCCATATTGTATGTATCACATTTATTATGTGTTATGTGCACATCCAACAACTTCCAAAATAAACACAAAAATTTGAACGATATCAATATAAAGCGTCAATGCTGCGAAAATATATTCTTCGGGACTGAGTGAAAGCTTATGTCGTGTTCCTTTAAAGATAACAAAATATAAATTGAAATTTGACATATTTTACTCATCATTAATCTTACCAATCATCATTTGAGTGTCAAAGACTAAAAAGGAGCAAAACAGAAAAGCTCCAATAGATGCAAATATGACAAGAATTATTTTCTTAGGAACAATCAAGATAATCAACCAAAATATTATGAATATCAACAGGAAGACGATAAGAATACCTAAAATGTGACACTCTCTAATGTCAAGTAATTAAATATCAAAATTAATTGACTCACCCCGGAAAATTGTGAAATCAAATTTTGATTGAAAAGCAAACAATGTTAGGCCAATACAAACAATTGTAGTAATTCCAGCTGATAACAAGATTAATTCCGGGGCAAAAACAGCTGACACAACTCCCATAAGAAAAGATTGAACAATCGTAAAGATACCCAGAAGAATGAAATTAATTGGCGATTTGCGTCGATATGTAGGACAACAAAGTAAAGTTATCATGAGGATAAAGTAAATAAGTAGTGAGATCCAAAAGAGATATGACCGCTCTCTGACCCATTCATATGTTGGCTTATGAGAGACAAACAACGACACAACCGCTTCTGTGATTGCAATCTGAAGTGTCAAAATCATGTAAACTTTCTTGACAAATTGCTTGCGAATTGATTCGTCTGTAAATTTAAAGCTTTTCCTGAAAGGGTCTTCGGGATCTTCCAGTAGTTGAGTGTCTGATTGCAGTTGGGAAAGTGACTGACTTCTCTCCTTATTCTCATCATTAGAAGATTGAGGTTTCGTTCTTAAAATGTGTTGACATGGTCGAAACCCAAACAATAATTGATTTGAGTCTGAAATAATTCTCATAATTAAATTTCGTTAAATGCTTTTTTAATTGATAATCATTACTGATGTCTGGTGGATTCTCTTCGGTACTTTGCATGTATAAAAACAATTATATAAAGTTTCAATTAAATCATAGCTTTTAAAGCCTACTTAAAAATCAAATCTTTTATTCACATCACAACAGATCAAAGAATGTAATAAAGCTAAGTTTAGAATAAATTATTGCAAAGATTTTGTTTCAGGTTTTTGAACTTTTGACTGCATAAAGCTTTATGTAAAGCTTGAAGGTATGAGATAAATATTTAAAGTGTTCAACAAGGTTTTCTTTGGGTGACTCTAGGTAAGTTGACTCTTCATTTTAATCTCTCGTCGCTCCTAAAATTGTCAAGATGTACATGAAAATTTGAATGATGTCAAGATAGAGATTCAAAGCTGCAAAAATGTATTCTTCGGGGCTGATCGAGTATTTGTGTTTTCCACCTGAATAAACAAATTAAATTAAGTGAAAGATCTTTCAAATGAGTTCATCTTACCAAGCATTAACTGCGTGTCGTAAATCAAATAAACGCAAAACAACATTGCACCCAACGATGCTTGAACCAAAGTTAAAGTTTTACTTCGGAAAAACATGGCAACAAATCCAAATATGACCATAATGATTACAGCAACAAAAAGTGCACCTGAAATGGTAATAATTAATTAATTTTTTTCTTTTAAGTATTGAGATGAATTTAATTTACCTCCACAGACAGTGAAATCAAATTTCGTTTGGAACGCAAAAAGTGTAAGTCCAAGACAAACAGCAGCGGTGATGCCAACAGCCATCATAACAAGATCGGCTGAGTATCGAACAGACATGCAACCCATCATGACAGATTCAGCAATTGTGAAGATTCCCAGGAAAATAATATTCATTGGTGACTTTCGACGAACAGATTCGCAACATGCAAGCGCAATCATAGTGACGACAACAACGCCAAGTGAGATCCAAACAATTTCATGATGTTGCTTGATGAAACCATTCGTCGGTTTGTGAAAAACAAACAAAGATATGACAGCCAAAGTGATTGAAAGTTGCACAGTTAAAATTGAGTAAACTTTTCTTATGAAACCTCTTCGAATAGAAGCGTCATCGAACTCGAAACCTTTTGCATCTGGATATTCGGGGTCCATGTATGGTGGTTGTTGCGGATTATAAATTGCAGGTGCTTGTTGATGTGGATAAGCCGGGTTATAAGGTTGTTGTTGTTGTTGAAAGCCTGGTTGTGGTGGTGGATATGGCGATTGTCCAAAGAATTGTTGCTGATTTGGATCTATGAAAAGAGAAAGAAAAAATCAATGGGAAATGAAGACAAATCATATTAACGCGATCATCGGGATATGATAATTAATAATTAAATCAAGCTTTGAAGCTCAACAGTTTTTTCTTTTCAAAATAACTATGAGGTTTCTAGACAATGCACTCGTGAGTCATGATTAAATAACTACAAATAGCAACACATGTAAATGAATATCAATTTCAGTGTTAACAAATGTTTTACAAACCTGGTGGATAATAAGGTTGATGTTGGTTTTGTTGACCTTGCCACATATTCAGAGAATTTTTTTAACGTCACTGTGGGTTTTCAACGTTCAAGCTTATATCTCGATTTTCCTACAAAATTATCAATGAGATGACGAAAAGCCAGGAAAAAGAAACTTCGCCAAAATTCTATCGAAAGAAAATTGAATCAACAGGTTGAAATCTTTAGAAATTCAGTTTTCTTGAAGAAATTCTCTTATCAGAATTTGAATATCTGTTTACTTAACAACAAATAGAGCGTGTGATTTTTCTTTATTCATAAAACAAACAATACAACTTTTTATTGAATGTTTTTTAAACAGGTTGCTTGACTTTTTGCAATAGAATAAAATTCTAAGTCAAATGTCATGTGATTTCATTTATGAAATTAAATAACACAATTTCAAATTTATCGATTTTTGAATTTTCGTTTTCATGCCTTACATGACTCATTTAACTATTCTTCAACTTAAAACAACTTTCAAACACTTCTGTTCTTTTCTCAATGTAATAAATCGATTTTCTAATTATTTCACTTTTGATTATTAGGTAGGTAGGTAGCTAAGAAAGAACATAAACTCAAACAAACCTGAAATATTCTGAGGTATTCTTAATGATTTGAAATAATTACACGGCTTTTTTACTTTTATAGTCTTTTCACTCTTCAAGCTGATTTTAAATGATCTTTATTCGAGATTACTGCAAGGTTGAATGAGTGTTGTTTATAATCAAAGCAAATTTCCTTTGGTGAGCTTCTGTGTGGTGAATTTTCCAACAGATTTCTAGAATAATCTATCCGGATAGAATGTAACACAAATTTAGAATTCTGTTGAGTTTTTTGGGGTGACAAAATTTATAAATATCACCACGGGGTGATTTCAGTTAAACATTTTGTACTAAAACTCATTTTTAGAACATTCGACAATATTTCTCAAATAATTTTTTCTTTTATGATTTATTGATTTTAATCAAAAGTTAGACATTTACACAAGAAGCTGAGCAGTTTCAAATGTCAAGCTCTAGTAAAAAAGCATCAAAACCTTTTAGCCGCAACGCTGGTGATTGGACATGTCCAGATAAAAAGTAAGTAAAGTTGAAATTTTGGTTGTTTCGTTTGTTTACAAAAATATTTTTCATTAAAAAGTTGTGGAAATTTGAATTTTGCTCGTCGTGATCATTGCAATAGATGTGACATGGCAAAGCCGAAAGATGATTCAAAGAAGGCAAGTGAAATTGGACAAGCTGCTGCTAAAAATAGTCGCGGTCTTTTCAGGTAAAAATAATTTTCCTCTTTTGATTAATTTAAATTCTAATGAAATGAAAAATTTATTTTCAGTGCCGATGACTGGTCGTGTTTGAAGTGTGGCAACATCAATTGGGCTAGAAGGAGCTCTTGCAACATTTGTAATGCAAAGAAATTCGCTGATGATCAGAGAACTGGTAATTTGGTATTTTAGTGGTTTTTAGTATGTATTGATTTTATTGAAAGAACTTCTTACTAAAACAAACATTAAATGGAGTGTGTACGTTACTGATAACATATTCTTATTATTCTCTTCTTCAAGGATACGGCGGTGGTTACAATGAACGAGATGTTGTTGAATACAAGGAACGCGAGTCATCAGACTCCGAATATGATGAATTCGGTCGAAGAAAGAAGAAAACTAACGACCGTAAATCAATGAGCAAGCGTTCCAACCGACGAGGAGATAGCCGATCCCGTTCTCGTTCCCGTTCACGCTCGAGAAGTCGAAGTCGAAGTGACAGCAGTTCATCGTCATCATCTTCAGATAGAAGTCGAAGAAAACGTTCCAAGAGATCACAAAAACGTGATCGAAAATCAAGCTCATCATCGTCATCATCATCAACATCCTCATCATCAGATAGTAAAAAGGAAGATTCAAGGCGTAACGACAAAGTGACAAGCAATAATTCCAAAGAAGCTCAAAAAAATCCTCACGTGTCCAATGATGACGAAGAGGAAAGCGGAAGCGACGAAGATTTATCAAAATACAATCTTTTTGATGACGATATCGATATTGAAGCTTTTAAGAAAGGAAAATAGAATCTTGCAAGCCTTTTGTCCAAAGAAATATCTTTCGCATCTTCCAGTTTATCACAATTTTCTGTTCTAGCAACTGAAATCAATTATCAAATAAAACTGAATTACAATTTGTAAGATTTTTAAATTTTTCTTTCCCAATGATATCGCTAGAAGATAAATAATTAAGAAATTAAAGCGTTCAATTGTTACTTAAATATCAAAAGTGAAGTTTGTTTTATTCCCTAAATTTATCTACATTTCTGTTACAGAATATTTAATTAAATTAATGTTTATTGCGTGTCGTACCATTGCTTCTTCATCCAGGTGTTCGGCTTGACAGTATTGCTTTTAGCTTGTTGATCAATGACCACAAAAGGCGTTCTATCATCTTTTAGACTTTGACGATAATTATTCTGCTTATTAATTTCATAATTCGGTTGGTAATTGTTCGCCAAGCTATCAGCAGGTGGCTGTGCCATTGGAATTTGATGTTGATTTGATTTATGGAAATAAGCTCGCTGTTCATGGCGATTTGGAAGTAGTTCATTTCTTTTTTCTTGTACATATCTTGGATTCGCTTCAATGACATTCGTTCTCCCACGAATGTTGTAATCTTCACTTTGATTTGAAGCACGTCGACCAAATTTCGGTGACTTTCTGTGACTTGATGGTTTTCTGGGTGGAGTGACTTGCACTTGTCTCTCATCATCATCTTCGAATGAAACAGATTCACGATATTGTGAGTCGTAATCATCGATTGTCACTTTCAGATTACTTCTTCGTCCACCTGACAATCGTTTTTGTGCTGCCATTGATTCATGTTCATTAAAGCGATGATCTTTTTGTAAGGGATATGAAGGTCCTCTGCCTTCAGCATGACGTGATGGTGACCGTGTTGGAATCTTGAAATTCGAAGGCTTCTTTAAAGGCTCAACAATCACTTCATTGTTGTCATCAAAGATTTTCTCTTCAGGAACGTTCACTTTATTATCCATCAGAATTTGACTCACATCGTTCGGATCTTTTGGTGTCGTTTGCTTCTTCTCAATCGGCATTGGACTTACAGATCGTGATGGTGATCTTTCTTTAATCAAATAGTTGTGCATTGCACGTCGATATTCAGGACGTTTTTCGATGGGAAATTCTTCTTCTTGACTGTTCGTTCTTACTGGTCTCGGTGACCCAGTTTCGTGGTACGACAAAGTTATTGGTAAATCAAGTTTATCAGGCTTTCGATCTCTGTCATGGGAAGACGGCATTCGAATGTTGGTAGGTGGTCGTTTGACAATCGGTCTTTGTCGTGGAAATCCAACATAATTCTTACGATATTCTGGTGAATATTGCATTTCACCGTTCAATGCAAGAAAATCTTGACGAGGTTTCGCTTTCTCCGGAAATGCATTTTGATGATTTTTATACTTTTCATAATACTCAGGCATTTGACGACCAAATTCACCTTCTGAATGTAAATTATCTTGATGTCGATAAGGATAACGTCGCTCAAATGTATTCATATCAACTTCTTTGTAACGTTCTTTATACTCTGGTCGCATGTCGTTGAATCCTACAACATGCAAATTGTCTTGCTTCTTAATCGGTGCACTTTTTGTGAAATGATCGTAAGATTTGTAGCGATTTGTGTATTCAGATGCACCATAGAAATCATCGTCGTCATCAAATTTTGTCAAGTTACTTGGCTGTGGAATTAAAGAACTTCTTTTACCGACGACAGGTTTATATTGACGACGATATTCTGGCATGTAATCATTTTCAGAATCCAACTTTTGATGGTATCGATTCATGCATGGAACGCCATAATTGTTGTTAAGTATTTTTGCTTCAATCGGTTTATAATGTTCGTCCATGTCGTCTTCTTGTGGAGGTGGAGGCGGTGAAATATTCTTAGGTGGTGATTTAGTTTTCTTGACTTTCTTTTCACGCTTTAAATGAGTGCAAAGCGGTTGGTTATATTTGTAAATGCTGTCTAATGTGTAAGGCACATATGATGACTTGTACTCGGGAAAAAGCTCAATTTCACCAGTTAAATAAAGATTGTTGGGTTTCTTAACCATAGGCGGTCGAGCTCGACTAATAATCTCTTCGGAATAAGGTTTGTATTGAGATTTTTGTTCAGAAAAAATGTCCATAACTCCAGAATTAAGTTTGATATTTGTTGGTCGACGTAAAGGACCTAGACGGGGTGAAACAGAGCGTATGGGGAAATTCGTTTCATATTCGGTTTGATAATTGTAGAGATTTGGCTCGGATTTGTAAGCTGTTCCAGTTAAAAACGGATCTGCATCAAAAAGCAAGTTAATAAATTATTCAAAGCTAGTTTAGAATTCAACTTACATGCATCAACTTTTAAGTTTGGTGGTCGTTTAACTGGAGCAAGTCGTCCAAAGCACGGTTTCTCATAAAAATTTTGCTTATATTCAGTGTTGAATGTGGAAGACCTTTCAGGCTTGCTGGACAATGAAATATGACTTTGGAATAAATCTGTGAGTAATTGGGAGAAAAATGAGAAGGGAAAGCAATGATCAATTAAAATCCAGAATATCCTTGAAAGTGCCTGATTGTAATCAAAAGAAAGGATACTACACTCTTGCTACAATTACATGGCTTCCGTCTACGATAATAATGCAAATCATCAACTGGTATATATTCGAATGGAAAATGTTGAGACTTGAAACGATTTGCGTTGATTTCTGACTTATCTGTAAAAGCATTAACAATTAAATTCATAAAACAAAATTCGTTGCGCATTTTCTGCTAAGCAAACAACAAACCAAAGAATATTTCCGGTTCTGATATGCTTCGCGATCTAATGAAGGCGTCAGCGTCGCTGTACGATTTTCTTCAGTAGAGAAAAGAGAAAGAAAACATTTAACAAACGATAAAACTATGCAAGTAAATAATAATTGTCGTCATAGCGATTTTTCATGTTGTCAGTTGATGGTGAAGTCAGATTCTGATACGTTTTGAGAAGACCTCGGATCTAAATTTACCGTATAACGACCGGCAAAAAGATTTGACCTTAAGATTATTATTAAACATGTAAAGCGAAAAGTGACCTACATTTCAACTACTTTTTATTATTCTCCTTTTAACCCCCTTTTCAAGAATGCCAGAGACAGAACCATTTTCTTTCTCTTACCGAGACGTTCACAAGGGTTTCTTACACTTTTTTTAATTACGAATGGCCACGGATGTTTGTTCTACGTCAACGATTACATTCACTTTTCTTAATTGAAAATTTCAATGATTAAAATGCTTTTGATTTATGTGATTGCAATTTTTCTTTCACAGAGTTTACTTGTTTTCCGAACAAATACCGAAAGTGAACTAAAGACGTTGTTAAGGAATCCGGTTGTAGCTTATAAAAATTCTTCTATGCAGTCTACAAATATTGTTATTATTTATATTCATGAGTTTAGTTATTTACTTTTTCTCATAGTTACGGTAAGGGTGAGTTAATTTCCTTTATTTAAGTCTTGATGAGATTGTGGGGGTGTTGAATAATGACGCAGTATTTTTGGTTTTTGCTTGAAACTTTCACGCTCAAATAAATATCTGACGATTTAGTTTTATGAAGTTTTTGAATATGACTACTTAAAGTTTATTGAACATGGAAATTTAATACTTAAGTTCAACTTAGTGTTCATGATTAAGCATTTCTCTTGTTACAAAACATTTAATCCTTTTGCATATCTGTCATAAACTTTACTATCGTATCAATTGAAACTTTCATATTATGGCACGCGAGTATAAACATAACAAACTATGCACAAAAATTAAATACATTGTTGAATCGTGTAGCATTCTGGAGATATCTGATGGCTTTCATTTATTCACCATCATAATCTACAACTTTTGGTGCCTGGCACGAATAATAAATTCCAAGAATATCATTTGAGTGTCGTAATTATAGTTTTAATGGTGAACAACTGTTCTCATGTGCATTATTTAACAAATATTTAATCATTAAATTCTTTAATATTTAATCAGTAAATATTTGATTTGAATTATGAAAGATTTTATGAGCATGAAAACTTCTTTCTTTGTTATCTCACTTTTGGTTTCAAAGCTTTTAAACATGTCTTGTTCACCCATGTGAATTAACATAGTCAAAATAATGTTTGATATGCTCACACTTTCATGACTACAAAGAAACTTTAAATAGAAACGATCCATGGAAACCTAAGGGAATTCATAACAAGCGGAAACAAAGCTTTAACTAATTTGTATGTCAATAAAAATCAACAAATATAGGTCACAACATAGGAAAATAAATATCACATAATTTTCCATCGTTTCTGGAAATAAAATGTGTAAGATAACATTTTTTTATCTTTATTATGTTTTGATGAGAATTTAAGTGGATTTTCTTCACTTTTCATTAAGCTTTTCCACATCCAATAAATTTGTATCTGTCTTCCGCTTTTTAATTATCTACATTTTTTACACCTTAAAGTTTCTCATAAATCATACTTTAACATTTTCCTTTTTCTCCATTGAAACATAAGAATGAAGTTAATTGTTTTTAACAAAGAACTATTTCAATTAATTTATTTTTCCATTAGCGGCAAATAACACGTTATTTTATGCTGAACAACATACAATGGCATAAAAATTATTTCAAGTCCAGCTGTTACGATTGTAAGAAGAAAATCTAAAGAAAAGCGGTCAATATTTCGTATTTTGTTTTTTGTTTCAGCGGGTCAAGATCGCTTTTCATTTCTTTCTTAACAAGATATCAAGAAATAAAATTAATTTTCACATACTTTTGATGCATTCTCATTTTTAATCGTTTAAACACTAAAAGTTCTTAATCACTAAAATCAAATCACGTTATATCCTTTGGAAGCTCTACTATTCACTGACGATAATTCAAATATTAAAAAGTAATTGCACTTTATAGCCTTTTCCATTTCAATGATTGAAAGCTTTATTAACCTTTGCTGTAGAAATTTTCATTTGATTTAAAAAATAATAAAAATATTGAAAGTCTTAAAAAAACATTTTCAACTTTATTGGTTCACACTCAAACTGCCACTGTTCTCCAAAAGAGAAAACGAATAGAAAAGTCTGTTGAATTGTATGCGATGTCCTTGATCCATTTTTCTATGCTTTTTTCGTGAATGAATTTTCTTCTGTGGTTCTCACAAAAAAAGAAACGAAAGAAAGCTTTCAGGAAAATGCCATCACATTTTTTGATAAGTTTGCGATTTTAATGTTGACATGTGGTTTTGCTTACGTTCAGGCATTTTAGAATGAGAACAATTTATTTTCACTCAAATTCCACATAATTTATTATCAGATGCAATATGAATTCATATTCAAAAAAGATTATTGTATTGAAAGCTTTAGGATAATTCTTAAAGCTTTCTGCTTGATAAAAATAACGTTCGAATTTTATTTGAATTTTGAGTGGTGAATTTTTTTTATGTTTTCACCATAAATGGTGCCACAGGACTTATCTTCTAATATGGAAATGAAAATGCCTCAAAAAATGCTTATTCTTTTATCTTGATAGTTTTCAAGCTACTTTAAATATATTCCTTCTATGCAAATTTAATACACAAATTCTTCAGTTTGATTCAATAAATATTTTTTTTTGTGCATATATCTGAATAAATGTTATCTAAACAAGATACGATTTCTTATTAGGTTCTTAATAAAAAGATAAAATCATAAAAATATCTTATCAAATCAAAGAAACATTCAAAGCTGAAAATACAAAAATATTCCTTGTATTACTTTCTGAGCTTTCTTAAGTTCTTTCAAAACTTTTCAACAAAACATATTAACTGACTAACCATAACATTACATACAAAAAGCTCAAAAGTTTTTATCCCTTCCAAAACACAATAGAAACAAAGTCCTGAAAACTTTTACATTTTCTCGATTCAGCAGAACAAAAAATGAAAAGTTTAAGATAAAACAAGAAGTAACGAAAAATCAGAAAGAGTTTTCGGTAATTAATTAAGACCAGCTATTAGTGTCACCTGGAAATCTTCTTACTTATTAATATGTATGAGAACAACACGAATCTATTCTCATTTCCTATAGCGATGGTTCATACAATGATTTGCATTTATGAGCTTACATTTTAATGTGTAAATATTCAAGCACGAAACATGATTGAATTCATGAATTTTAACTTACTTAAAGTGTTGATTCTGCAGTTCTACGTTCCCTAGAGTTTTAAGGGTAGGAACATCATAAGGAATTATTAAGAAAGGAAGCGATTAACAATAAAATAAAATCTGTTGATAAGAAAGAAGAGTTTTTGTTCATAAATGATTTCAAACAAGAAACAACATAAAAGAGCAACGCGTTTATTTTTGTGCGCAGAATCTGATAAATGATACATGAAGGAATCAGATTCATTTATATTTTCTTCTATTGCACATCAGTTCTCTGATAACCCTCGTTTGAGTCGGATCGTATAAAACGGACTAGAAGTTCGCTTGACCAAGTTTTTCTCTCTTGCTAATTAAGAAGTTAAATCAAATTTGTGAAACGGTAATTCATTTAATCTGATTAAACAAATTTCATTGATCATCGAGCTCAAAGCTGAAACGTGACGAATTATAAACATTTGATACGTCCGTGATAAATCAAAGCGGGAAAGAAAATTCCTTTACACCAGTGAAAAAAAAATTGGGGTGTTTTCCCTTAAGAGAAAAATTTTTCGTTGATTTCTTGATCAAATTTGAATGAATAAATTTTTTTGTAAATTTCGTTGCACTTATGTAAAAGAAAAAAAATTAATGAGACGAAATAGAGTAAAAGTGAAAAATTAATATGATTATGGTTGAAATAATTAATAAATAATTGAACAATAATTTGAGCTGACAAGAAATTTCTTGCATCATGTTGATGAGTGTCAAATTGATTATAAAGTTTCATGAATAATAAGAAACATTTTAATGTAAAAGGAAGTAAAGATCTTTCTCGACATAATAAATTATGCAATTAACAACAATGAAAAACCACAATAATGGTTCATGTTATTTAATTAAATTAACAAATGTCTAACATTTTACTGCTTTTTCCGTTAAAACCATCTAATAAATACTCTGAAATAAACATGAAACCAAAATAAAAGAGTTGTTAACATGACTTAATTAAAAGTATAAAAGTGCAAAGAAAAACAACTATGAAGTTTTCACGAAAGCTTTTAGAGAGATAAAACATGATTAAAAAGCTCTCGAGTGTTGGGTGAAGCAAGCGCGCATGACCGGGAAAACTATAACTCGAACAGCATCCTATAGCTTTACCAACGACGCTTTTCTGTTCTCATTTCCACTCGCTATGTTTTTTTTTCTGGTTGAAGAGGTTCTTATGAAAGCATAAATCATGCTTAAAACAGAACCAAATTACAAAAGCTCGAAAAAAGGAGAAAAACAAATATAAAGAATCTTTTCCAAGATTTTCATTTAAATTAAATTAGTTTTTAAAAGCAATTATTTAAACATGTGTCTGGGGTGATGGTTTTGAATAAAATATTTATAGCTCTTGAGACGAGAATTATGTGACTATTCGATTATAATATTAAACACTCTTGAGGGTCTTGTTAGCTTTCTAAAGAAGAGAAAATTTCATGAAATATTCATACTGAATAAATTTTTCACATGATATAAAATCCTTTTAAGTTTAAGGAAAATAAATTAATTTTCGGTTTTTCCTATCTTTTGAAATCCCGTAGCTGCAAGTCGTGAAGTGCTTTAAATTGAAAGCTTCATAAGGAAAGATTTAAATTGTGAAAAGTTTTTTGAAAAGCAGTCAAGTTGGGTAATAAGGCAGGAAAGTCAACTGAACCAGCCGCTGGTGAAGCAGCGCCTATGGATAACTCTGTATCTCCTTTACCGGAACCAGAAGCACCATTAGCTATGATGGAAATCGAAAAAACTCCAATTTCCACACCAATGCATGATATGCCACCGCCTCCGGATGAAAAGTAAGTAGAGCACTCATAGAATTCAACAGAAAGATTTATATTTACGTAAGAAATGTTTTTCCGGAATCTGTGAAAGGAAAATTTAAGATATTTACCTAAGGGCAACGTTCTTATGCTATATATAAACTTATGAATATCATAATGTGGTGTCATTATGCTGCAAATGCTCGATGAAAAATCAGGTCATAAACTCAAGCTTTACATTTTCTCTCTTCACTTCTTTTATCATTTTTCAATAGAGGATTATGATTATGCAAAATATGCAAAATATTTAAATATCTACACGTATACCTACGGTATGACAACAATATAAATAAAAAGTTCTTTAACCCACTTCTCCATTTAATGATGATGTTCGTTAGTTGTGCCTTTTGCTTTGGTTTATGTCTTAATATTTATTTCATTGAATACCCAATTTCAACTGACAAGTCAAAAAAGAAAACTCAAATTAGAAATGTAGCAGGTGTTCTTCACTCGATTGTTTCGCTTCGGTTTGTTGCTTTGTTGAAAATTTTGAAGTTCCCACAAAATGGGCCTAAATCAATATAAACGTGTGAAGTAATAAATGAAAAGAGTCGAAATTGATTTTCTTCACTTACTTTCGTTTCTATCGTGGCATGTCACGCAAGTTTAGAATAAAATCAACATTGTTGAAGTTGCCGCCAAAAAATTGTGCTAGAAGCTTGCTTAACAGAACTTTTATGTCTTTTGACCAACCTAAAATTCCAATTTAATGGAAGTCTAATTAGAACTCGACCCTAAATTCAAATTTGTGATATCAACTTGTTGCCATTTTCATTGTCGAATAATGAAGGCTGTTGAACCTTCTTCTTGTTATCCTTAAACTTTAAAATCATTGAAACATAAATAATGAATGTTAAGATATTCGATTTAAAACGACTTTCACGTCTTGAAAGTCTTCAAAAAGATTAAATAATCATCAAGAGCTGTCGACATTTTAAACGTGTCCTTTGTTTACAACAAATTGACATGATTAAGAGTTTCTTTTCGATGCTTTGTTATGGAAATCAAGGGAAATTTATGTTAATGCCTTCGACTAGATGTCAGGCGCTATCCGTAGATAGCGTGTTGATATAATCTTCGCTCCATCAACCTGAATAAATGATATGCTGACATTAATCATGAATTAACGATACTTTTCCCTTGCTAATAAAATTTTCAAATGTTCTGAGAGTTTAAACGACACTCAAGTGTCTTAATCAATCATAATTTTATATGAAACATTTTTCTTCACGTTGCAAATACTTCGTAATCCATTTTCCTTTCCTTTGTTTCATTTTATTTCTATGAGTAGTTAAGGTCACTTTGTGTCTTTTATTTAGCTTTGTTCATGAAAGTGCACACGCTTGACCATGACACAACATGCAAGAAATACGACAGTTCCATCAGCATGCTGAAATAATTTGCACGCTACAATGATGTTGCATTTATTAAATATGCAAATATTATTCATCATGAATCTATTAGCTTATAATGATGATATGTTTTGGACATGAAACATCATTGCTTTATATGTTATAATCGACATTGACTGACTTGACCATCCGTCAATTGAATAATCTAACAAAACACAATCGAATTCTTATTGTGAATGAACACGACGATCAAGTCACGACCCGCACATCAACAATAAAGTTTATTTAATTTCCCCTTTAATTTGTGAATGGAAGAATAATTTATTAATCAAGTGGGTTCTTGATTCTCGAACACGACAAATATTTGATTCCAATGAACAAGAACAAGCCGCGTTAACTTCTCATTTTCTCAATTTGATTTCGATGTTGTTGACCATGCAATTCCAGTCACAATTTTATTTTGTATCACATTACAATGGACTTGTTTAGTAAACTGTTCATGGACGTATCTGACGTGTCGAAATGAAATCAGTAAATAGAAATTGTTGTCAGAGGATACATCAATTAGCTCTCATATTACATGTTATTGGTACGGAAGAAGCATAATTCACTTTCCTTATGTTTTCAAAATATTGGCTTTCCCTATTTCCTCTCTGTTGAAGTTCCCGGTATGGAAATAAATAAATGAGACAAATATGCAACACATGTGACTCTGAATAGAATTTATATGAAGTGAAGCAGCTTGTACTACGGTTGAAGCAACATCATCATCATTGATTCGAAGTTTCATTGCATGTGTTTGACTTTATAAAGAACTCTGACGTCTGTTGATGTTGAAAGTGAAAGAAACTTTTATATATTTATAAGATATACAAAACTAGAAGCACAATCGAATACCCAAAAAGTGTGTGATCGAAACGTACGTGATTTTGCAGGCGCTTAAATGAAAACTGTAACGAAAAGGTAGAAAATGTTTATTTTCTTATGTTTGAAAACATAACAGACAGACAACGAATGATAGACTCGACAACTTGCCGACTTCCAAGAGAGCAGTGAGAGTGAAGATATTTCTGAGTTGTTCAACGAAAACGATGATAAAAACTCGCTTAATTGTGCTTCTTTTCAGTTTTCTCCCCACATTTCTTTTATTGTATACTTCGTTTTATGGCGGCTTTCGATGTTTTTTTAAGTTTTTTTTTCTCCTTCAATTTGGCAGGTTTCTCAGTTGAGTTTTGAACGAGATAGCCGCGAGATCGTTTGTGATCTTTATCTGCGACGCGCAATTTTTTCAAAGCGAGTTTATATTTTTTTATCAAAAGACATTGAGCGAAGTAGTGTGTCGTGTGCTCATTAATTGAACGGAAGTCAGGGAAAACATAATTTATGGGAAATATTCCAACATTTCTAGTCGATAACTGAAAATTTTCGGAAAAATAAATAAAATCTCAGATAGTCAAAGTGCTGTGTGATCAGATCAGAATCTTTGCCGAGTTGTCTATCTGTGCTTGTGAATTTAATTGAACCTAATTGAAAAATTCGCTTAATTGAGTTACATTGCACAAGAGAAATATAAAATTCAAAGTAAGAAGAAGTTCAGTGACAGTAAATTTTGCGAGTCTTACTCAAGTGGTTGCTGCTTTATTGCACAACATAAAATAAGTAAATGAAATAAGCTCGTCGAACGAAAATTAATATTTCGGACCAATTTTCATGCTTTAGGTTCTCGAGAAATTACGTTACATAAACGAAGCAAACCGAAAATTAAAATGCCTCGAAACAGTGCACAAACGTAAGTCTTTCTCATAATATTTCGTTTTCACGTAATACGGCCCTTGCCGAAACAAATTTCTTCTTCTTCATCATCATCATCATCTCAAAACGCCACAGCTGTAATTAATTTTCTGTTAATAGTGCGACAAAGAGAAATCATGAAGTTAAAAGGCGACAATATCTAACATCTAAAGATGCTGAGTAGATATGCATTTGAGTTTGTCTTTGAAATTGTTTCATTATTGAAGTTTGTTTTTAATCTTTCTTCTTTCCATCCACGACTCTCTTATAGACGTCAAATGGATTGGAAAATAGAAAAAACAATAAAAGAAGAAAATAGAAATCAATTACCTTCTTCTTGATATGGAACTATGATTCGCATATTTACAAAACTTTTGAAATGCTCAACATATATATTTATGTATTTATGTTTGAAGCATCCAATGTCGAAAATTAAAGAGAAAACTTTCTAATACGAAAAATGCCTATCGGGAACCTGCTATTAAATAAAGAAATATTTATGCACTATGCTTATGCTTTACATATTCAATTAATTTTCAAAGTCAATGTTTTCATGTTTTGTTTCGTTTTCTAAGTCATTGATGCAACACACGCCACGCCGCTGGTTAATAACTGATGAAAGAGATTAAAGCAGAAATTGAAAGTTGAATTACAACACGAAAAAAATGGAGATTGAGAAAAAAAGCAAGCATAATACTAAAGAAAGTACTTAATGCAACAAAATCACCGTAAGCTTTGTCGACTTCCGATAAACACAAATGAAGCCGATTATTATTACAGTAATTAAGAATTGATATCCGATATTATCATCGCAATGTTTGAAATAACAATTAAACATCATAAAATTTATATAAAGTTACATAATCACTTCCGTATCACGAGAACTTTAATCCCGCTTTCAGTTTCAATTCTATTCAATTCACAAGATTTAAAAAGCAGACAGAAGTCGGGAAAGTTTTCAATGTGTAAAAATTGAAGATTATTTGCACGAATATTTCAGATAATGGAAATGAATGGCAGTTGTGTTGATTTAAATGCTTTCTATCGCTTTTAGTCCAATTTATTGACATTTGTTCCCTCATTTTCCAATTAAAACAAGCATGTGACGTACATGTCTATGAGAATAACGCGATCGCTTTTACTCTTAATTAATTGATGATATCATTCAGACTATGACGTTCATGTTTTTGACGTATAAAATTGATTTTCATGTACAATTTGATGCAGCTTTTATGCTTTTTAAACTGCATATGATGGCATATAATTAGTTTTGAAAGTATGAATTTATTCAAAGGGGTTGTAAGTTAGTCAGGAGTTATTTAGGTCACGTTGATTATGAGTTCGAGTGAGTTTCTTTCATCATCTTCTTGCGAAAAACATGAAGTTTCTCACGTTCTCAGAGGTTTCTTGACCTTCTTCTTTCGTTCTAACTTTAAACAGATAAAAAGATTGCAAATGCTTTGCATTTAATTACACCAATGGGTGGCCTTTTAGTTGAAATTATTCGCAACGAATTAATAATCCTCCTTAAGTTCTTAACATTAAGTATTATGAATCATCGTAACCAAGCGAGAGTGTAGCGAAACATGAACAAATGATCTCATTAATTACCCTCATGCTTCTTATTCTTTATTTTGTCTTTCATTTGTTGATTTTCATTCAACGTTGTTGATGGAAATATTATTTAAGATAATAAGAAGATAAAAATAATTTTAAAAACGGAGTGTCTCAATAACTTCTCCATTGTTTTCCTCACATCTTATCTCTTAACACTACTTCAAAATGCGGTACGATATACAAATATTTGAATAATGATAAAGCGAAGGCAACTGTTATCGTAAATACTACAACAACATAATATTAGAACAATAGACAAATAATCCATGTTCTTAAGTAATCATTGAGACATATCATGTTAGACTTGAGAAGCTTTTTTCTGTTCGATTTCAATTGAACACAAAATAAAAAAGCTTTCAATTCAACATCGAATGAAAAAGTTCATTCTCCTTCATAATAAAAAGATATTTGTCAAAATTCTTGTGAGAAATTGAGGATTACTGAAATATCTTTTGTTTGTCTTCTATTGTCATAGGCGTTACGATGAAGACGTTAAGTCAACATGGCAATGTGGATCATGGTGCGAATACATCTTCGTGGTTGTTGTTTCATCGATTTTACTGCTTGCCGCTATCGTCTTAACCGTTTTTTGGATCATCTACTACAGAAACGGATACAGTCTTGAGGATAATAAGTTGTTGTTTAACTTCCATCCAACTCTCATGATTGGCGGATATATCTTTCTATCTGGATTTGGTGAGTTCCCTTATTAAGCATTCATTGCTCGACATTTAATTGGAACGAAATGAATTTCTTACAGCTATACTTCTCTATCGTATTTGTCGTTGCTGCTCTCACTTGATTGTCAAGTTGTGTCACGTATTTTTCCATGCTTGCTCCATTCCATGCATTGTCATCGGATTTTTGGCGGTTTGGGAATCAAAGAATCAACACGATACGACACATTTCTATTCATTACATTCCTGGTTGGGTCTCATTACATGTGGACTCTTTGTATTCCAATTCGTCCTAGGATTCTTCAGGTAAATAAATATAAAACGTGTTATGGCTTCAATTAAATTGTCCATTACACCCAAAATAGTTTTCTCATCTTGCTGTGCTGTGACAATGCAACACAAAAGTTCCGCTCAACGATGATCCCAATTCATGCTAGCTTAGGTGTTGCAACATTTATGTTGGCCATTGGCGCAGCTGTAACTGGATTAACTGAGAAGGCACTTAAAGATTTGGGGTAAGTTGAGATTAATTAATTAATTTCAATTTTTAATTATTATTTCCTAAATTCTAGTGAAGAGAAATACTCTGGAAAGGAAAATGGAACGTTCAAAGGATTCGATGAAGAAGGAATCATCATCAACACCATTGCAGTTATCTTGATTGGATTAGGAATTCTTGTTCCATTTGCTGTTCGTCGAACTAACTCACCAGCCAGCTTTAAGGTGTACGTTACAGACCGCATATGAGAAAACGCCAACAAGGTTGAAATGGTGAGGGAAGTTACTGAAATAACTGTCACCGAACCAGAAGCAACCGACGTTGAAAAATATTAAAATACAATTGATCGATAAAAACAAACATGATGATATTAAATCGGATGATACATGAATTCTTGTTAGATGCAAGAATGATTTTTAAATAGATTTGGACAGGGCAAATACGTAGAATCATCTTTAGATAAGGTCAGATACAGATGTAAGAATAAATATTGTGTAGACAGAAATTTTTCATTTTTACGGGGAATTCGAGGTTGTCAACGACGTGAATAAATATTTTATGATGATGTGCTAAGATCTTTGAAAGGTTTTCTAGGCGAAATGTTATTGAACGACGAATTCTTCAATTATCCCCCTAAAATTTCAAAGAAAATTCAAAAAAATATTCTTCAGTTCAGTCATTGATAAAGAAAGGAAAATTTGCTAAAATATCGACACATTTAGAATTAAAAATCTTTCATGGAAGTAGATAAAATTCAAGCATTGCCAAAATAATATAGGAGAAAAATTTAGATCAAAACATTTGAAATCGCGAAACAATTTAAAAAAGCAAGTAGGAAAAAGTTTTGTTTCTTCAAAGTCTGAACATCATCAATTGAAGTTTTTCCTTATTTTTCCAAATTTTCTTTTCATTTCTTCGTATTGGAGTTAAAGTTTAAAACTTAATCATCAGCATGCGATAATTATAGAGAAAATGATGAAAACCAAACCAAAAGTGATTTTTATGTCGTTCGTTTTTTGGCTCATAAATATTTAAATATATGGAACCAATTTTATAACAAAACTAATATTTAAATACATTTTATAGTGCAAAAATGAAAAAGTAAAAGAAGAACTAAGAATTTTTTTAAAAAACATTTTCTTGACACATCCGCAGCCAACCAGAATCATTTATCAGTTTATCAGTTCATCATGTTTTATCTAACAAATCATCAATGAAAAATAATATTTTCTAATTATAAAAGTGAGATGAATAAGCATGTGACGTAGTTTAAACAAATTTTACGTAAGAATTGCTTTAGTTTGATGAACTTTTTTCAAGAGAAAGAAAAACTCCAAAATTATTATTAAATTAATTAAATATCTAATATAAAATTTTAAAACAAAATTAAAAAGATGAAAAACGATTTGCGATATGCTTGGATTTTCTGAGGCTTATCAAGTCAATGCATGTGAGAGACAAAAAAAGTAAATTAATTTTCACTTTTATGCTAATTACATCGCACTTTCGAGGCTTCTGTGGGACTCTAAAATATCGCAGATCATTAGGCTTTCAATAAGACGATGAATTAAAAGAAAATATTAAAATTAATAATCTTTAAATGTAGTTGAAGTAGATTTATAGAGCGACACACAAGCAGTTACTCCAGCATTTTACATTTAAATAATAAAAAAGAAAACAGACAAGAAGAATTTTCATACAGAAATTATCGTTAGATATTCATAAAATGTGTTAAAATAAGAAATGCCAAATTGCAAAAATATGTAAGTAAATATTTTTCTTTTGCGGAGGCGTTCATAAATTTAACGGATCAAAGTTTCTTTTCTCAACAGGATGAGATAATTTATGGACGCTTCCGGTTTCTTCGAAAACAAACGTTATGTCGAGCAGTGTTGGCATCTGAAAGTTAATGGGAAATATTCATGCACCAGTTTTTTTATATTGATAACTTACAACATTTTCCGCAACCTAATCGGCTTTCATTCCAAATATTTTCTTTCAAATCAAGCTTTTCAAAATTTTTAAAACTCATTCATCAGAATCCATAAACATGAAACAAGACAAATTTTTTTACAATGAAGGAAAATACCACCGGAAATTTTAATTAAACTTTTTGTACAAGAATGGAAGAAAATTTATAAATAAATAACAACAAAAACTATGTTTGGCTCCAGAACGAACCATGTTACATGATTACATGAATAATCGAAGTAATTATTGTGTGGATTCTTGTTTGAAATGATAATTTTTCTACCAGAATTAACTTTAAACGTAAGAAGAATAAAAATAAAAGGAAAAGTGTTTTAATAAATGTGTTCAAAAACATGAAATAATTAAAAAGAAATAGACGGAAAACATCAAACATAAACATTTGAGCGAAGATATTTACTGTATAACTTTGTAGGTGAAAATAAACTTTTCCATCTCTTCCATCCCCTCCCTCCCGTTCCATTCTTCAAGTATTCAGAACCATCAATTACAAATACATAAAAAAGACATTAAATATAAATCGAAACTTTATGTTCTGTAACTGTCACATAGAATATTCATTAAACATTAAACATTCTCAAGAGTAACGATTTGAAAATATTTTTATTGCGATTATTTTTCTTTATTTATCTTTCAAGATTGTGTAAGAAACAAAAAGAAAAAAAAATATAAACGAAGAAAAACGAAAAACCTGATTTAAAGAAGATATTTAAAACATAAAAATTATTTAGCATAACATTATTGTACAATTTTGTTGATGATTTTAATTATATTAATGGTTAAAATAATATAGTGAAAACATTTCATAACGAAACTTTTTGAAATCCTGTCATTTATCATAAATAAAAAAATATTTAATAAAGTTCTTAACTCAAACGTGTTATTTCTTTTATTTTAGCTTGCTGAAACTTTTCTCAATCTTCTTGCTTTTCCACGTGACAGCAATGTCATGTTATATCCTACAACTTGAAAGTTACAATGAATTTCCAACATTCTCAGGTTTCTGTTTCATGTGAATCAATTCATATGACTTGTGGTTGGTGGATAAAATAAAACTTTCATACGAATTACATTAACAACTCTGTCTACGAACCCCCACGAGAAAAAGAAGAATTTATTCCACTGCCTTACTCACAGCCACATAAATTCCACTTATCGTTATTAAATATTCATTTAGTTTGATTTCAGTTCGTAGTTGAGGTTTGACGAACCTACTTCTGAATGTCACAAAACTAATCAAATTATAGTGAAACACATTTCAACAAGTATTCATTAAATCGGTTAATAAACTTTATTTTAAATCATTTAACAAGCTAACAAAAAAAAGTCTAAAAAATAATTAAAGTTCTTGTTGAATATAGAGACAGAAATAAGTTAAGTTATTGACATACTTTATGTCATATTCATTCACAATTTTCAGATAGTTCGGATGTGAAAAGGAAATAAAAATATACATAATAAGGATTGATTAATAAATATCAGGAAAATATTTGAAATTAAAATAATAAGTTGCTTTAGAAGACAATTTACATTGATTTTTTTTTTCTTCTCTCTTGAATTACATAAATCAAGACGTGAAATTACATAAAATTTTGCGCATTTTCCTGCATAACACATAATACATAAACTTGATTCATTTAGCTGACATTTTGATAACAAGATCCACACAGCCTCACCGGTTCCATAAAACTTTCTTTGGGAATTGGAGCAAAGTACTGACTGCAATCACCACAAAATATTTGACCACAACAACGGCAATGATGTCGTCGTCGACCAAGCCAGAATTCTATTTGACAACTTTGACAGCGTGTAATCGCATGGTCAGGCACCCATAAAGTTGGAAATGCAGGATTCTTCTCGTCTATAGCTTCCCAAGAGCAATTTGAATTCTCTGATATACAATCCACGACCGGATGCTAGTGTACATAGTTTGAAAGTAAATATAATTTTGACAACTTTCGTAATTTCATCTCGTCAATTATTTCTTTACCATGTCATCCGAGTGGTTACTTGCGGCTGCTTTGTCTTTGAAAGTTCCATTGTTACATTGACATGAGTTATTCTTCAAAAGTGCTAATCTCATAAAATGAAGTTCACGTTGAAGTGCTTCTTCCTTCAACTGTTGAGAAAAAGAAATATTTTTATTATTTTCGGTTCATTTGTTATCATAAATGATAAAGAAGAATCCTAGATCAATCTAGTACTAATTTAGTACTACTAAATCTAGGCACCTTACCAAGGGGGTATCAAACTATCACGCTAAAGAGAGCTCAGTCAATTGTTCATCATCTCACAATTCTTACCTTGTGTTCGTATACAATTTGTTGTAAACGAATATTTTCTTGATTTAAAGTATGATTTAAGCCATCAGGAAGTGAAGATGTGGATGACGTACCATTGAACAAATAAGTTGGTAACGTGTGAGATGTTGTTTGAATACCAGGAGTTGACATTCTTGAATCAGTCGTTGAAGAGATGCTAAAAGAAAGAAAATTAATTGAAATTCTAATCTTTGTATTTAATAATAAAAACCTTTCTTTTGCATCTTTTTTATAATTTCCATTTGAAATTCCATTCTCATATCCATTCCTGTAGTTTTCATCTTGATAAGAATCATTTTTCTTGGAATCAAGTCGCTGCAAATGACATTTTGTAAGAGGAACATGCTGATGATGTTTTCCTTGTCCATTTGTCAAGGAATGTGAATGTCCATTAGTGAGTGGTTTACTTAAAGCATCCTTGAGATAATTAAAAAAATTAATTAAATATTTTCAAATGAGTTAATTCATAAGCTTCACTCACAGTCTCATCATGCAACTGATGTTCTTCTTTGTTGTCTTGATTTAAAATCGCTTCATTTAATGTGAAATGCTTTTGTTCATCGCTATGAATCTCATCGTCAGGCACAAGAGTATCGGAACTCTCATCGATAAGCTTTGAGGTAATTTCGTGAATGTTTTTTATATCATCATCGGCAATTTCCGGACTCGATTCTTTACTTGTTACCCTTTCAACATCATCAGTTCCATTCATTATTAAGTTATGTAAATTATCACTCAATTCCTCTTCAACATCTTCTGGAAAAATATTCAGTGGCATCGGCATTGGTCCATCGCCAACATTAATCGATGGATCGCTAAGTCTACGTGCAGCATCTTTACTTCTCATTTCCTGCATTATATCATCGAAACTTCGTGTCTTTGTCATTGATTTATCATTTGGAATTTCAACTTGATCAACTGATAATTTCTCGTCACTTTTTTGATGATGATTAAAACTTCCGAGATAAACATCATTCCAAAACGACAGATCACGAACATTATAAGCTGGCCACAGCACTTTATCACGATTATTCGGTTGATAGAGCGGATTCTTGTAGATTGAAGTCGATATAAACGGCCACACAGAGAACGTTCGCTCTGGAATATGATTTTCCAGTCTCTCTTTCATTGTATTGCACAAAAACGTTCCAAATAGACACGAATGAACATGTTGAGCGAGTTTTATAAGGTAACTTATTGAGAACTCGAAACTACAAGGAAACTGTCGATGAATTTGATGAACGCAATCAATCCACTGAAGAAAAACGGGACATCTTTCATTTGTTTCTTCCGATCCAACTCCATGTCCACAGCGATCACCAAATTTATGTCCAAAACTCAGCCATTCCTTCTCGACTAGTATTCGAAAGCCATCAATCGTACGATAAAATGGATCGAGACAAAGTTGAGCTGTTGCTGCAATTTGTGGTGTTCGATCCCAACCATCACTGCAATGAATCAAAACTGGTCGATTGTTGCGTTCAATTGCATGACATACAATGACAGTTGCAGCAAGTAACCCCGACATATGTTGAAGCCACATTGTTCGTTCCAATAAACTGTACCAGTTGGGGATGTCGGATGGTGATCCACAAAGAATTCTCAAAGAATGAAAAGATTTTCTTATCGCATGAATATTTCCCAAATTCATGAATTGAATTTCTGCTGATGGATAATATTCAGGACATTCAACTCCACCACCTCGTGCACGATTTGTCACAGCTGATGCATAAGATCTGGCATCGACAATAAGAATCTTCTTCGCTTTATCAATGTTGACATTTTCTGTTTCTGATGTCTCAAGACTAGACGACTCAAATTCATATTCATTTGGTTCCGTCACTTTTCCATTGTCGAACGAACATGCATCGGCTAAAGCTTTGAGCAGCATTTCGTCTTTAGGATTGCGCCATCCAAGCCAACCAACTTCTGGTTGTGATGAACGAGCAATAACAGCACCAGACGAATGACGCCATGTGACAGCGGGAATTCTTCTTGAGCTCCGAAAGCTTGACACATTTTGAAGCATCTCATCGGAGATACAAGCGGGCACAATAAGCATCTTTGGATAAGATTGACAAAGTTTAAAGTCCGAATTGATGTTTGATATTCGCCATGCACCTTTTAAGTCAAATTGAAGTCGTTCGAGTTCTCGTCGAAAGTCTTCTTCGTAGTCAATTGAATGTTGAAGACGAGTGTGCCATTCTGGGTCTAAAGTTCCAGAGGCTTCCGACACCCAAGCATGAAATGCAAAGGCAAAGAGATGATCGAGTTTTTCTGGAACGCCAGTCACTAATAATATCCGATTGTGCCATTCTAAACAACTTTCTGGTGTGCCAAACGAACACATGTATGTGACAGCATCTTTGCAACTTACAATGAGTTGGAAAACGTCCTTGATCTGTACGTTTTCAATTAATCTTATAGGAATCGACACTTCTGATAGTTTTGTCGTGTGTTGAATAAATAATCTGTAGTTGGAAATAGCAAGAATTCCATTTTCCCAACGACCCAAATACTTTATACTCTCCCCAGCCACTAAAAGAAGACAAACAAGCAAAAAAATAAAAATAAAACAAAAACAATATGTGAAAATTGTGCAACGTTTGAAGAAATAAAAAATTATAATTTTGTATTTTTCTTGTTCACTCACATTCAGCAAATGGGACATTTAATTGATCATCTTCTTTTTCCAGTGACAATTTGGGGAAAACTTCAGAAGCACGAACCATACACAACGATAATGGAGATTCCTCCATTGGGTCCATCACGAATCTAAGAAAAATGAGAGGAAATTAATAAATGTTAATATTTTTTGTATTGAATTTTAAATCCGCGATGTTTTTACGATGCAAAACGAAAACATACAAAAAAGTGGACTCAAGGGCAAGAGTATCACATAATCATTTTCATATCTCAGGATCTTTATGCATTTATAAGAATTTAATCATTTTTTGTTATCAGCACAATCACGAGACTTTTTTTTGCATTATTTAAGTTTTTTTTTCAATTGTTAAAAAAACAAAACAAAGAAAATTCGGAATGGATGTTGTTGGATAATCTTTCTTAAAATATTTCTATTATCAACCTTTGTACTTTACCTTTTGCAATATCAAACCAATTTTTAATTGGATTAGAAGCGTTTAGAACATTAAAAACTTTGCATTTGTGCTTTTGAATTGCAAATATTTTAATTTTTTCACAATTTAAGACAGTACGAAAATAGTCGGACAAACAAGAATTGAGGAACCATGTTTATGATGTACTCAGTCATCATTTCCGACTTTGGTACGTTCGCGCGGATTTGACCTCCCATACAAAACGTACAGAAAAAATTTCTCCGTGCGTGATAATTTCTCCGTGCGAGATAATCGATCGTAGCGCCGCCACNTTTACCTTTTGCAATATCAAACCAATTTTTAATTGGATTAGAAGCGTTTAGAACATTAAAAACTTTGCATTTGTGCTTTTGAATTGCAAATACCTATTTTTTCACAATTTAAGACAGTACGAAAACAATTTAAGACAGTAC